AAGCACACGCAGACATATACACACACATATATATATATATATATATATATATATATATATATATAGCCTTTCTCTTTTCTCTTTTTGTTTTTCCTTCTTCTTCTCTTTTTTTATTATTTCTTATCGTGAAGGTGAGGAAGCATACCAGCGTGCTTGATACACCGCCGCTGGCTTTACTTCATTTGTTGGCTGCGGTGGTGCAATCCACGTTGTGGCTCCGAGTTCCTGCGCCACGGCATCAATTTCATGTGCCTCCTTCTCTGAGAGTGCACGGTATGCTGGGGAGTATCGCACCTCCGCATATCCAAGTACAGCCGTGAGAAGTGCGGTTTCCTGTAATAATGGTGCCTGATATTTTCCCGCTAATGCGTAGAATTCCCCTGCGGTATCGTAGTTAACTTCTTCTCGTGCTAATACAGATTCACAATAGGCCTGTAGGGAGGGAACATCTAATAAATGAGCACCCAACATAGTGGCAAACACCGCCTCACGAGGTACTGTGAGTTGTTGTGTATAGAAATAGCGTAATAATGGCATTACGGCCAAGTATGGAACAGAGACTGGACCCACAAGAATATCACGTCTCGTTTTTGTATTATTATTATTATTATTATTATTATTATTATTATTATTATTATTATTATTATCTGTATTAGTATTAGTAGTAGTAGGGTTATTACTTCGTCCTCCACTCTTTACCTTTGCCGCCACAGGACCAACTTGAAATGATGTCCTTTCACCACTTAACAATGGGCGAAGTAAATCGTTAAAGAATGAGTTTGAGGCCATGAGAATAAATGGATGAAGTGCATGTACAGATTGCTGCTTTGTATGAGGATCTACAAAAAGAACCGTACATGTAGCTCCATTACTTGTCTCTAAGAGAGAGAGAAGATCCACTTGTAATTGTTTCATACTATTCTCCTGTATTTGTTTTAACTTTTTGCGATTACGTGAGAGAAGTACATCACAGATATCAAATAAAGGAATAAGATTATAAAGTTCTGCCGCACGTCGAAGACCTTCAATTACATTTATTTCCTCTTGAATAGCTCCATCATCCACCACTTCATCCTCCTCCTGTTCCCAAGGAAGGCGATGACGAATATCACCCCAGTAAATATAATCCAATAAACACTGCAGTTGTTCAGATGAAAGTGGAAGTGAAAGTCCTTGAACGCGTGAATTACCTTCCGTACAGTAGGCAATCGCATGTGTATGATACCCAATATCACTATTATTATTATTATTATTATTATTATTATTATTATTATTATTATTATTATTATTATCTTTTATGAAGGAACCGGTGGATTCTGTCTTTATGTTAACTTCCAATGCCGTAGAGGCATCTTTTCCTCGTCCACTCACAGTTCGAACTTGTTGTGTACGACATCGTGTTAAATCCTCCCAAAACTTTGGCGCTCGTAATTGTAAAAGTGCCCGATGAACCCCAAAGGAACGAATATTTTGAATATCAATAGAAGATTCCCCATCAAAGCTGCGTGGAAGAACATATATATCATAATGAGCACCAGATCCCCCTTCACGAATACGACGCATCATTGAACGAAGGGCATCCATACTCGCAGTAGTAGTGGCACGTGAATCAATTTCAAAATATCCATCCGCGGCGAGAAATCGTACCATTGTGTTGGTTGCCGGTTCACTTCCACAAACACCACCAAAGACATGAACAAAGCCACCACTGAAAGCCGCACCAAATGCTTTTTTACTGGGAGATACAATAGATACATTTCCCATCGCCACAGGAATCCAACATAAGTTCACATCACTTTCCAAGGCTAATACAGCAACGAAATTATGATATTTTAGTGTAATTCGACCACTATGTGCACTTGCACTACATCCTCCTACAACCATAAGCGCTTCTCCACATGCAAAGAGATGATGTCGTTCACGTGGGAAAGCATCTGCACTCGTGCCATCATGTAATTGTGTCCATTTCTGTTCTTTAAGGTCTAACATCCATGTATCACTTAATGTCACACCGGTATCACTGACGCCACCGTTTATATACATTTTGTCACCAAGAACACAAGCTGCATGATAATATCGATTCGCTGGACGGTCTGCTACGGCTTTTGTTTCATTCTTTCCAGTTTCTTCTTCTCCTTTTCCTTCCTTTTCTCCTTCTTTTCCTCCTTCTACTACTTCTACTCCTACTACTTCTGCTCCATCTGCTGATATGGTTTTTTCTTTTCCCTTTTCAGGTGTTTTCTTTTCTTCACCTGATACCGTACTTTTTCCGATATGAATTCGCTTTCTCCATTTATGGCTGTTTAGTGAAAAGATATAAACTTCAGAGGATGCCACTGTCACAATTGGAGCACCACGGGCCTCACTTTGGTCCCGTTTTAGTGTTTTTCCACCAAAAATATACAAACGATCATCTCTAAAAATCATTGAATGACCAAAACGTGGTTTGGGTTCATTCTTATTTTGAACAGAACCACTATTATATTCCCATAAACATTTCCATTCCTGTTTATAGGCATCATAACAGTAAAGATCACCAAGAATACGTGCCCCACGATGGGTTGAACCTCCACTGATATACAACCATCGTCCTTCACGAGAACAGGCAGCATGATTGGTTCGAGGTGTGGGTGAAACCCCATTAGCCATAAATAAAGGATCCCAAGAAACATGATGAGCATCATATTCAAAAAGAGAGGCGGTTTCACCTTCTTCTATATCCATACCACCAAATAATAACAATTTGTGTCCTTGCATAGGCGTTAAGGTATGGCCCCAACGAGCACGAGGTGCAATACCAGCAGGATTCATATATCGGGCGCACATAATTGGTAAAAAGTTGGCTTCTCTGTATTCCTCACTCTTTCCATCAGAGGCTTTTGATGATCTTCTCCCATGAACTGCTTGTTGTTGTTGTTGTTGTTGTTGTTGTAATACTTCTGGTTCATTTGGTCCCTCATGTTGAGATTCCTGTGATACACTCCTTACGGCAGTTAATAATTCTCGTGCATCCTCAAGTGGTGTTCGCTGCTGTGCAGAGACCTTTGAACCACCAATAACTTTTGTACGAGAGAATGTCAGCGTTCGTTGTGTGGGTTCCTTCGTGAGATCTCCAATGTTTGTACCAATAGGCTTTAAGGGTGGTAAACGTTTGCCAAGAGGGATTACCGCCCGACGGCTTTCTGTGCTGGTGTCTGTATATGTAGAGAAGAGAGATTTTCCCGGACGTTTTGTAAATCGTGAAACCACGGAATCCACATTTCCAGAACCACGTCTTCGTTGAGAAAATGGACGATTATCCTCCCCGTTACTATTATTAAGAGTGTTGATACTAGTACTGTTGTTATTATTATTATTGTTGTTATTACTGCTGCTGTGGGTGGGTGTGCCCCCAACACTTTCCAACTCTCGCAGCAATGCCTCAATTTCACTGGTCTCAACTATACCAGACATTTTATGTACAGGTATATAAATAAATAAATAAAAAAATATATATTTTTTCTCTTTTCCCTTTTTTTTTTGTTTTCTTTCGTTGTTTCCTTACTAAGGTTTTTTTCTTTTTTTTTCTTTTCTTTCCTTTTCTTTTCCCTTTCTTTTTTTTTTCTTTCTTTTGTTCTCTTGTTCTTCGCTTTTTTTTTTTCTTTTTTTTATTGCTTTCAATCTTTTGAATTTCTAAGATCGCTAATCAATATGTGGGTGATTTCGTTTACCCTCGAGGGCAGTTCCTAATGTTTATTTCCCGAGAAGGTCAATAAAAAAGAGAAAAAAAAAGAGAGAAATAATATAAAGAAGAAATAAAGATATAATATGAGTAAATAAATAATTACATTCTCTTAAGCCAATTGATGGTGAGTTCATTTTCTTTTTTTTTTTTTTCTTTTTGTTTGGATTCATACATTTATTCGTCCTTCCTTTTACACAGCTCATTTCCTTTTTTTTTTCTCTTTTCTCTTATTAGTATTGCTGCTGTTACGCTCTTAACTTATCCGTGTTTT